ACCTAAAGGAAATCGGCAGGCTCTCGGCGTGCACGAAACAGGTGGCCGCTCGGCTCACGACCCTTTTGATCCCAAACTGCACGGTGATGGTGAATGAGCTATCTACTTAGGATGCGAAGAAACTTGCACAGGGGTTTAAAGGTACGGTTTGGTCAGGGCCTGAGCGTACCAAGTTAGGGTAGTCACGGGCTCACGGGCATCCAGCACATCAGAAGGTAGGTTAAGCAGCCTTGAAAATCAATCCAAGATGGGTTTCAATTTCAATGACCCGTCGAAAGGCTCACAAGCGGGGTTTAGCCATGCAAAATTCCAGCAAAGCAAGGGTTTCACAACTCCAAAAGCGATTGAGATCGGCGTCGCAACACCCAAAGAGCTTCACAGACGTTCAAAAGGCTCCCCCCAATAGGGGTTCGGTGCAGTTCAAAGTGGTTCAAAGCCTGGTATTCAAAGCAGGTTTCGTGACGCAAAAATGAAACAAAACGGCATCATTTAATTCTCACTCCAACGTGTTGCGGCTGGCTGCAACGAGTTTGTGAGTTGGAAATCGGCAGACAACATTCAGTCATCCGAACTTGAATTACTGTAGAACCTGAGTCGGACGATGCTCGCTTGTCTGGCGGGTTCGCGAGCTCATTTGAGACAGCGGGTTCAATCTCAGGCGGCTGGTGGATGGTAATTAATAATGCAACCTTCCTTCTCCCAGCACAGTTGAGCCTAGCGCTGCAAGGATGCATGCCCCAATGACGGGCACACTCACTCGTGGCATTGCCCGAGCTTGGGCAAAAAAATGCAGCTGTCAACACACAAGAAACACTCGTTGCTGCATGCGCTCTCCCCGTTTTCTATAGCCTACAACTCACTGGCCCACCGTGATACTGCACGTTAAGTGCAAGTCCATGCGGCTGATCGGGAAGTCGTGCCTAAAATGCGGAAGCTGCATGGGGTTGGTACTAAGCAACTGGCTCACAACACTCCACGTAATGTCCGATGTTCGCTGAACAGATAAGGCTTGGAGTTTGTGGTCAGCCTCCGAGGGCTGGAGAGACGAAGCCTGTGAAAAAAAAGTGTTATCAGGGCCTCATGCATTGCAAAACTCCAAACCAAAATACCCAAACGTCGGTTATCTGCCAAAACACATGAATCTCAGATCCTATGGCTTCACCAGAGTTGCCCCGACCAACAATTTCGCGGAGTGCGAAACTTGGGGCCCCTGCGCCGCTGCACGCTGATGCCAAGACCTTGGTTTTATCATGTCAGCGTGCGTGAGCGCTCAAAGTGCGGAGAACGAAGCGTGAAATGTCGGAAAAAACATGTCCAGCTGTAGTTGAACTGTCTTCGTTCCAAAACTGCTTTGCCCGACCAATCCTCACACATCACATGCTTCGAAGCTGCCAATTTGCTTGACAAAGGATGATGCAAACGCTCAGCATCCACTCCCACGTTCTCCAAAACCACATTGACCCACTCAACACAGCAGGCTTGCGCACGGAGCGTTTTGGAGACCGGGACCGCGCAGCCCTGACGCTGATAGCAGTGCATTGATTGATACTGAATACACTAGCCCACACAAACAGATCACAATGGTTTTGTTCAATCTGATTTTCTCCCATTTTGCTTCCTACATGGCAACTCCGTTCCATTTAAAGGCTGCGCGGTGAAGAAGACTTTGACACACCGGTGCACGCCTTCCGTCAGCATTTTCAGCCAGAATGTTCGCCAGATCAGGAAAGGCATCGCAGCCGCAAGCCGAGACCTTCCTTTATATTAAAAATATAGTTCCTGGAAATGTCCAGTTTTTAGACAGTTTCTTATTCTGGATTGCGTGACTTCTGCTGCTACGTCCCTCGGGCCCTAGTTAAGCATCAATCTAGAAGCTTGAAAAATCACTTCAGCAAGCCTCATTTGACACCAGTGCAGCCGACAGATCAATGCAGATAGCCACCTAGCAGTGGCACAAACAGCGTGCAACAGGCATCAAACGTGCACCGTGTAAAAGACGGTATGATTCTTCCCTCCCCCTCCGCCCCCTCCCTTTCCCTCTCTCTCTCTCTCTTTCTCTCTCTCTCTCACTTTCTCTCTCTCTCTCTCTCTTTCTTCCATAGCCGTTCGCGTTCTATACGTTCCGGGCGCCTCGCAGTCGCCTCCTTATAGAAAAGAACTGTGTTGCTCGACCAGCTGAGCTGCACCAGATGAACCTTCGCACGCAGTCCTGGTGTGGCTGTCACAAGGTCAACACCTGGCGATCAAAACACTATCGACGCACTCACTCACACGCCAAAAAGTCTGTCTTCGCTGGCAAAGGCCAACCACAGCAGTTAGCGGGCCAGGGCGCGAGTAATTAGAAATCTAAAAGAAAAAACTCTTCACTGCAGTCATCATGGTGTGAGCTTCTGAAGGGCCCGTCGAACCGCATGGGTGCTCGAGCCCTGTGGTGGGAGGAGCAGCTCTCAACTCAGCACCAACAAGCCCAGGCAGCTCCAGGCCTCTTGCTAGGTCCAAAAGCTGCGGTTTCGCCTGGGCAACGCGTGTCAGGATGAAATGGGTGAAAGAATCTGTCCATGGAGAGGGTATGAGGAAGGAACACAAGGACCCATTACCATTACTGCATCCTTAGAAAGTGTGGCTAGTCAAAAAATGTTGAAGAGCCAGCCGAGGCAGCCTTGGAGGGTGCAAGGAAAGACACGCCAAGGGTCTGAACGCACAATGTCTTGGCCCATCTGAGTTCCAGGCGTCTACACCATCAGACACTTCGCTAGCGCAGATCTGGCCGTAGGGCATGCAGGCTGCGCCGGTCGGAGAGGCTAGAAACCAGTCTGTGTTGGCCCAAGTCGCCGTTGTGTATCCTATGGTTTTGGGGCGACCGCAGATATTGAAGGGAGTCACCAGTTGAAACCACTTTTAGAACGCCTCGCTCACTTGCTTCGCCAGTCCAAAAGCGTCACAGGATAGATGTCCTGAGGTAAGCCCGGATTAGGCTCGTGACACAGTAGTCGTGCGCAGAGCAAAAAAAGGTTACTGTCTGAATCGTGTGTAAAGGGGGGAAGGGATGCCAGTATACAGAGGTAGAACGTTGAAATCTTCTAAAGTGTCCAAAAGCAAGCTGTTGTGATCGAGTTTTAGACTGGGATGTTTGACACAAAGCCACCCAAAAACTATCGCTCCCCACCCGTGCAAGAACGGATGCGCGTATACATTGGAGCCCAGCCTCGCCGTCTCGTATTGGTCCTACCACTTTCACATCTGTACAACCCTGTCCACCGGCGTGCCCACAGATCCCCGTCTCGCCCATCGTCAAAACATGCGACCGCGTGCAGGAGATTGGCATAAAAGTTTCTTCGCCTGGGGCCCAGAAACATGAGGGTGCATGTACTGACGAGTGGCCCGGCAGAAGCTTTCACCAGCTTGGACTGCAGTGATAACCAGTTACATTGAAACCAGACACCTCAACCGCAACGCAGCAAGGCAAGAGAGAACTGAATCTTCCCTGAAATGGAGCCAGAAGCAACGAATGCAGTCGCATTCTCTCGGCCAACCAATACACGGGCACTTGAGACTCAAAAGCACATGCTTGATTGGGTCGACATTGATGTGCTTGGAGTAGAGAAGAGTCGACTAAACGGATGCCTGGGAGAATCCCGGGCCCCAGTGCCTCCAAATGAATCTGGGAGCAAAGTTCTCGGGTGGGAGCTAGCACCACAGCCTGGGCTCTGCTAAGCTATGGCTGTTTGCGGATGACTCTCACGCTTTCTTCACTGACACGAGTGCTAGCGATCATCACTGCGTCTCTCGAGAGCTTTCGAGGTGTTGTGGTCTAAACAAGCCATTGAATTCATGCGCCAATTAGGACGTACGGAGACACATATGTACATGGCATGCCCAACTGTCGAATGACACTTGCGTCTGCTCAGATCGCTACCAAATTCTCCGCGGCGCAGGGTGGAGTCGAATGGGGGGGGAGGCCGGCCCCCCCCCCGCGACATTTAAAGCCAATTCTTAAACCATCGAAATCATGAGTCGGAGCACTTCACCACCCCCAATACTTTTTTGCTAAAGCAAAGACAACTCAGGTAGCGTAACCGCTACCTTGAAAAACCGAAGTCTGGTCACTCCAAGTTTATGTTCGGCGACTCCGACGCAGCTCTCTCAGGAGGGAAGATGTTCCCCCATCACACAAACATTTTGCAGGTTTAGCCCCTGCAAAACATCATTTCTGAGTGCAACAATCACCTCCAGCAAGTGAGAAGACACACATGTGACCTGGCACTTATGTGTTTATATGCTGCCGGACCCTAGCCGGCCAACTGCGTAAGCATACCGGAAGTAGCTAAGGCTATTTTCGGCTATACAGTGTCTAAGCATACCAAGGGTTACCCAACATATACACTATATATACATACATTTATATTTATGTAACTACAATCAATAGGTGTTCAAAGAAAATATGACAATTCTCATGACCAAACCTGTTGAGCAGCAAATGTAAACCGCAACACATGGTTTGCAAAGAAAAGCCTTCTCTTCCAACAACCCAAGATCAAGGGTTTGCAACCTGTATAAGTCCACCTCTGCTACCACTTACAAATTGCAGGAACCTAAGACCTCCGCTTCCGATTGTTCAGCAGAATATAGCTGAAAATGGCTGTAACCAGTGACAAGGCCCTGTCCGGGGTGTGTACATTTTTCCAACAGGTGGGTGTGTCTGAGAATAGGAAAATCCCTCTGTCCCATCTCGTTTTTCCTCTTACCAGGGGTCGAAATGTGTCTCCCTATTCCAATCCATAATAGGAGGTTTTTGTCCTGGGCTGTCCCTCTCTTGCTTGCACATGAAAAAGCGACCCACAGGACCCACATGGGTTGACCCACACAGGTGGAGCAAATAAAAAGCAACAAGAAGCAAACCCAGTGGCCCAGCCTCCTACTTAGCATCCTATAACCTCTGGCTGGTAACTAGGGCAAAACCTGGATTACCCACTGTGATGTCTTGACATCCGCCAGATGTCTGAGTTCAGGCAGCGAACCCCAGGCGCTCTCCAGAAATCGCTGCAACATGGCTCGTCAGCAACCACGCGGTTTTCTCTGTGGTTGGTTAGGTTCCGCTGGTCGGGGCCTGTTTTGAGCTTGCTGTCATCTCAACAGGAAGGTTGTGATTTGTGGTGTACAATTAACCACCAAACTTCACCAAACTTCAACTTGTTTTGTGTCACCTGTGCAGCGAAGCATTGTATGATTCGGATCGTTCATTACAAAGCATTATCAAACGCTGCTGCAGGCTGGAATCAATGACAATGAGCATTTTTTTGTCTTTTCATCCATGTGATCAACCAAGAACAACCATTTCGTTCGCATGCCGCATGCTGGCATTTTCTGGTTTAACAGTTCTACAAGCTGTTAGTCAAAAAGCCTTTTTCGGAGGTCTCCTGCTCTACTCCTTGGAGGAAGGGACCGAGGGGATATCACTCTTGCCCTCCCCCAGTGAACACCCCCATGTAGTTCAAATCGTGTGTGAAGCATGTTCACCCCATCCACCTCCACCTAATCCACCCCACCCAGCTCTGGCGTCCATCTCCACATGAGAATTCAATGTCTTGTGCCGATCCAAGGAAGGAGCGCGACATCCGAAAAGAACGTGCTCAGTACGCTTTTTGTTTGTGGCGAAAAGGGGAACATCAACGCACTTCTTTCGACAAAGGATCGGAGTTTTCGAGATGAGCAGTCCGACCCGTCGTCCGAGGTGATCTGAAGGTAGCATCACACCGACCCCCTAGTCCAAAAGACCGAGCGATCGGCGTTCCGACCCCCTCCGGTTCGGGGGGTATTGGTAGTAGGCCAGTCATGGCCAGCGGCGATACCCACACATGTCCTCTGTGTTCATGGTCGTTAGGTAGGGGGGGTTGGATGATTGAAGGACCAGGGACCTTCTCAGAAGGTATGCGGAGGAACCATCATTGGGAGGGTCTCATGTCTTCTTAGTGGTTCGCTAGGCTAAACCCAAAACAACCAATGATGGTCTGTCTTGGCGTGATTCCAATGTATAAACGCAAAATTGGTGAAACCTGTAAGTTCATGTTCTGCTTGTTTCGTCTCGCTTTTCAAAAATTGCTGGAACTCTGGTCTGGTTCACCGGCTCAACTTCGGTGCCTCTGCACCGGTCGAACGGTGAAACCCGGGGAAGGCGACGGATCCCAGCGCCCACCGAAGCAGTCGGTTCCCGGTCTCAGAGAATGGCGAATGGCTACACAGGGCAAACAAACAAATGCCGGACATGGGGCAACTGACAACGGCCTGGTGACATGCCTATACCTCCGTTTCACTGATTTGGTTGCACAACAAACGACTTACACTTGGTCCTTCACAGAACTGCGGCATCGCCAGACCCGGTGTCCATCCGGACAAAACCGACAGACGAGTCTCCTGATCTAAGGAATCAGGAAAACGAGAGAACGAGAACCAGATTGATAAAAGCATGTTTTGCAAATGGCATTCGCATCATGCTACTAAAAACTACTATACAGGCAGGTAGTGAGTGACCCTTGCTTGGGGTTACCCAACGGCCTCCTTTATGGCTGAAGATGGGTCCAAGCTTGACGCCATTCTCAAAAATAAGGCTTCTGAGCATTGTAAACTGAGAATCCATGTTTGGCTGTTGACCCACTTCGGCATGCTCCAGTGGGCCTTATAATTATAGGTGTTCCTTTAGCAGCCCGGAAAACCAGGTTTAATACAACTAACCAAGATTCCTTGAGTTTGTGTGGAGGATATGATCTTTGCAAAGCCCCTGGATTCAAACGAAAAACACGAAAACCAAACCGCAAAGACATCTCTCTGCGAATTCCTCCAGATTGGCACCCAATGTGAGACCAAAGTTCCGCATGCAGATGGCCTCGCGACGTAGGAAAACGATGCAGCGCGCCCAGCTCGATCATAGGAAAACGATTGGGTAAAATTGGTTACAATTACACTGTCAAAAAGATTGGACCAATCTTCTTTCCAAGTCTTCCTTTCAGTGTGATAAAGGGTGTTCTTTTTACAGTGTCGGGTCTGGAAAAACAACAACCGTTGAGAACGTTTTCACTGCATTTGGCCTGTCTAAAGCACGGTCGACACGAGAATTCTGAGAATGAAATACAGAACGCATACTGTAAGAATACATACTATATAAATGAATGCATTAATATGAAATACATTGAAATACATACTACAGCAGAATACCGTTACTAAATGAATGAAATACGATGAACAAAAACAGAATACATACTAGTTGTACAAACCCACTCCCGAGCTTGCCTCGATGGATTCCGAGCTTTACAACGCCTCATGTGGGCTGTCAGCATGAATTTGCCTGGCGCCGGCGGATCGTATGGCCCAACATGGGCTGCGAAAAGCTCTTTTCGCCGTTTTTGGGGCAAACTGAACAGGCAACAAAATCCACACTCCAGCTCAATGATGATCAGTTCATTGCGGGTGTTGCTTTGAGAACAGTTCTTTCTTGCCGGAACTGTTCCCAAACCATTGAGATTGAGAGATGAAAGGCTGGTGATGGACCTGCAGTGCGGGGAGAAAGTGGACCTGCTCTATGAGTGTGTGGCAAAGCAACCTATATGTATCCAATACAGTTTGATTTTCAGAAAGTTGTCTCTAGCGGGTGTACTTGGGCCTGTGAATGCCCTGGTCAAGTTGAACCAACTGAAACCAATTCTTCATGATCATGGCCCTTGAGCCCTTGACCAACAACAAACTTTTGAGGGACACCTCCCAATCAGGGACTCTAGTCATGGCTCTTGACCCATCTGCTCCCTTGGTGCGCCACCACACCCCCTACACAGCTCAAACATGAGCATCGCCCCATCCCAACAATACAAGGAGCTTTCGTACGTCCCGCGACGATGAGGTGATGACCCGATGTGAAAAAACACATGTGAAAGGAGGTGGTGACCCGATGAACCAATTCTGCTGAACCGCACCTCCATTCTCACCGCAGTGGTGGGAAATGCGGTGGAGGGGTTCACACTGCGGTGGGAAGGGAGGTGCGCTTTGGTGAAAAAGGGCGGTCGCACGGCACGGCAAGAAGGTTGACAGTTGATTATATGAAGCCTCACCAGCCTGGAGATGCTTGCTACCATGCAGGTAGTTGTGGTGTTTTGTTTGTTCAATTTTGTTCATTAACAATGAAAGTGACAAGGGTTCCGGGATATCAGCCCCAAACAACCACCACAACCTACGGAGTGGGAGGTGTTGGGAAAGGTATCCTATTGTATGGAGAACCCTGGCACGGGTTGGAACACGACGGGGAACACCGGAAGGGTTGGTACCCGTTGTGTATGGCAGAGTGGGTTTGGGGAGGGGCACCTACGGCCACCTACGACGCAAACCCGAATGCACGAAAGGCACGAGTTGCACGGAACGGCGGGCGAGGTCGACCGACGTACCGGAAGCTGAAAACACGCAAGTGCTTGTTTTCTTGAGCCATGATGGGCGTCGGTGTGAAACAATGACTTGTCGACCGACGACCGAAAACGCTGTACATGAACCCTTTATGACATGGCAAGTTAGGGGTTACCACAGTGTGTGATATTTTGACTCCCCCCTCGCCGCTTTGCGTGTCATGGGTTCACTGTATGTACAGGTATCAATTACCGCGCATTAAGCAGCGGCTTTTGCACCTACATCGGCACCTAACGAAAAGCTTCGGTCCCTAAGGGAGGGTTTCGGCTCGCGAATATCCGTACGTATGCCAAGAAGGCATAAAGCCTTGTACCACTTCTGCGGTGGCAGTGCTTTTGTAAAGATGTCGGCGGCCTGTTCGTTGGTGTCAATGTATTGCACATTGATGCATGGGTCATCGAGGCACTCTTTCAAAGATGAGAGGTTTATCTTGTGTGTCCGGCCGATATGTCGAAGTTTGGGGGAATACCCCTTACGAACGACTATGATGGTGGCTTGGTTGTCCTCGTGGATAACTAAGTCCACCGGCCTCTGCAAGAGCTTCTCCCAAAGCTGGAGAGCGGGTATGCCCTCCTGGTACAAAGAGTGTGCCAAACTTACCACTTCTGACTCCGTGGTGGAGCGTGAAGTGGATGTCTGTCTTTTCGAGATCCATGCAAGTGGGAAAAATGTGTTAGGACCTTTTAGTGTTAGGAAGCCGCCTGAGGTTGACTTCACGTCACCAGAATCGCCTCCGAAATCCGCGTCGACATACAGCTCAAGCCTGAGATCCTTTGGATCGTCTTGGCAAGAGGCGGTCAGTCTGTAGTCTAACGAGTATTGGAGGTATTGTATTAGCCTTAACAACTTCTTATCGTGCACTCGGGTCCAGGCTTGGACCTTCGTTGCTAAGTCGTTAATAGGCTTAAGGATATCCAGTCTAGACAGGCGGGCCAACCAAAGGGCCTTCATTAGTATCGAACATGCTTTGGGGGCGAGTTCTCCAGGAGAGTCCTCGTCCTCCTTTGGCCATGTTCCATCGGGGATAAAGGGTGTTTGTGCAGGTTTGATTTTATCGACTTTAGCAACGCTTTTATAAAGGTCTATAGTCTGTTGGGCATAGTCCTTCATGTCGAAAATCAAAGCATCGGGAGCCGCGCCTAAAGCAGCGTTCTCCTCACCCTGTACTTTGTCGAAACTGGCATAAACATGATTTCTTCCGAGGATTCTATAAATGGTTTCGGGAGGCTCAACGTTGACCTCTGACATTATTTGGTTCCAAAAGGGAGCATGGTGCTCGGATGGTCCGGATAATGTCAAGTCGTCCACGTATGTTGAGAGCATGAGACCTGTCCCTTTGAAATAAAAATTTCCGGGGTACTCAGGGATCTCCTCACCGTTCATCTTCTTTAAAATCCTCTTTAAGTGGTTTTCCCACATTCCGCCTGCATCGGGATGTCCATACAGTGCCCTCACTAGAAGTACAACTGGACGGGTGAATTTTCCTTTCCACCACTCCGGGCGGAGTTCAGGTGGAAGTTCGATCCACGTTTTGTACTTACTTTTGAGAAAGGCTTGAACATAAGCCTTTACGGCGTCTGCCGCCGTGCAGGCATGTCCCGGCAAGGAGCCGTAGGCTAAACAAGCGTTTAAGCCCTGTACGGAAGTTGGGTTCGCGCCCA